CAGGCTTGCACCTGGCACGGGCACCGTAGCCAGCCCGTGCCCCTTTAAGGGGTCCGGGGCCGGGAGGGGGGCAATAGAGTTTCCCTGGTGTTGGCCAGAGTGGCCACCAGGGAAAGCTGGGGAGGGCTAGCCTCCCACTAGTTCGAATTAAGGAGCTACACACCCCTTAATTTGAACTAGTAAGTTCGAACTAGGCTTAGTCCTTGTGCAATGAGGTTTACCTAGTTCAAACTAAGTGCTCCGCTAGTTCGAATTAAGTTCGAACTAGCGAAGCGCTAGTGTAGCGCCTATCAAAGTTAATTCGAACTAACGTCCGTTAGTTTGAATTAACTTTGTAGTGTAGACATCCCCAAAAAGACATGTGCTTCCCATCTCAAGAAGTAGCTTTTATTTTATTTTTCCTCTCTCTCTCTCCTCCCTATGTAAGGCCTGATCCAGTGCTGTCTGAAGACAATGAAAAGACTGCCATTAACTTCAATCAGCTTTGGATCAGGCCCTTATATTTTCTAAGCCAGGGTGGGAAAATACCAATCCATGGGCTGGATCTGGTTCACCAGGGTTAGTTCATGGTGGGTCCCTACTGCTATATTTACCTGCATGGTCACAGGTACCAGCAATTGCAGCTCCTGTTGGCCATGGACCACCGTTCCTAGCCAATGGGAGCTGCGGGAAGCTGTGTCCTTGTCTGCTCCACTTCCCATCACTCTGGCATGTTTACACTATGGAGTCCCGGAAAAGCTCTACCACATCCAGGGAATGCATCTGCTCTTCTGAAAATTTTTTTGGAAGAGCAGATGCACTCTTTTGGAAGCTCTGTATTCCTCTTTTTTTCCACATAGGCTATGTCTAGACTCCTCATTTTTTGAGGAGTACAGGATCTTTCGGAAAAGGCTTTTCTTTTTGAAAGACCCGCATGTAGACCACAGTTTCACTTTTGAAACAGCATTTTTTGAAAAAACACCGTGATGTGATTATGCAAATGAAGCGTGGGAAATTCAAATCCCAGCATCATTTGCAATTTCAAAATGTCTAATTTACATCTCTCTTTTGAAAGAGCGATGTAGTTTAAACATACCCGTAGACAGGCCAAATGTTGGAAAAGCCTCTTCCGAAAAAAGAATTAGAAAAAGGTATGCAAATTGCGGTTCACAATTTGCGTACCTTTTTCCAAAAAAACCTGGCAGTGTAGACATAGCCTCCCATTGGCCAAGAAGGGCAATCTGCAGCCAATGGGAGCTGCAATTACTGGTTCCTGCGGCTGTGCAGGTAAATATAATGGCGGCAGCCCGCCAGGGCAAACTGCCACTGTGTTATGGCCACTCAGGTTCTAAGCTATTTGAGGCAAAATGTGTGTACTCTTGTTTGTTTGTAAAGCACCAGTGCCAATTTGGCACTACTGAAGTAAAATGACAGCTGTGAGGTGTCTGCAGAGGTGTTGCAGTGAGTTTCCAAGCTTGATCTACTTTCACTCTGACTCAGAGAACAAATAATCTATGACAGAAATTACTCCCCTCTGATTTACAATGCCTGGGTTGCTGGTTGCAAAATATAAATAAATAAAACATCATAATAATGAAACTTTGAAAAGAGAGCGAGAAGGAGAGAGAATATATCTTAAGTTTTTCACTGATGGGTTGGTACAGAGCAATGAGCCCTGGATAGCAGAGTTTTGTAATGGTACCTGTGCTTCTTTCAGGTTAGCACTAAACACAGGTACATTCATGTTGCCAGTGAATTCTGTTGGTGATTGTTTTCTTGCTGGACAGCTCCCTTATCACTATGCCATAAAAGCAGCAGCAATAGAAAGTGTAAGAATATTCAATGTAACTGCGTCAGGATAAAGATGCTGCTGGATTTGTAAGAGCAAAACCCAGGGTAGTCTTGATTAGAACTGTGTGGAAAAAAAGACACATTTTTTGAACCATCTGCTATTTATTTCTTTAACATCATCTTCTCCTCTGATCCTCCTGCACTATGTCTCTTGGGCTTTGCTCAGTTGCTTTGATCTCTGGAAGGTTAGTGATAGCTTCCTCTTCATTCAACACATTATCTATTTTGTTGAAGTCAGTTTCTGATCCTGGTGACAGTAAGTGAAGGTCCTAAGTTTCTCTGGATCTGTATGGGAAAACTTGAGCTTGGTAAAGATTTTTGTTTCACTGCAAGAAGAAAACAAGCTATTATTGCTTAGAACAGAAAGATCTTTGTAGATGTAACAGCACTTTCATTATGGTCAGCAAATCATCAGAATTCTATAGATACTTTGGGGAGTGGGACATAATATATAGGATATAATGTATATAGGATAAAATCTTACTCTACCTTCTTAGCCATAAAATAGTTGTCAGATGCTTTTGCCTTTAGATATATGGCCAACAGAATGTAAATGAAAACTAAACTGGTAGAAGTCAAAACCTCCTTTGTTTGAGAACCACACTATAAGTCTCAGAACCTAAGAACCTCAGTGAGGTGGGTGGTTGACTGGCCCACTCATTATGATAATGACATACAAATTTCCCCAAATGAATTTTATTTTTTACTGAGAATGCTGTTTATTGTGCTCATTAAAATACAGTTAGTGTTCTGTAAAACAGTGACCAAATTCTGCCTCTGACAGGAATTCATAATTCATGCAGAGTCAAATCTGTTCTCATCTGGAGTCAATGAGGTTACTCCAGATTTATGGGTATTGTTATTTATTAACTGCAGCATTTTCTATGTACTAGGCACTTTGCAGACACTCAAGAAAAAAGAGTCTGAGCTAAGGAATGACTCTGATGTAACAACAATGTTGCATTCAATGGGAGATGCATGTGTATATATGTGGACAGAATTTGATCATAAGAGTACAAGGTAACATATATAAATGGAAGGGGATAGCATAGGACAATATGCAGTGGCTCCATGCCTGTCACAAAGGGTGGATGACTTGATGAATAACATCTAAAAGGCAAGTCTCAGAGGGGTAGCCATGTTAGTCTTATCTGTAAAAACAATGAGGAGTCCTTTGGTACCTTAAAGACTAACAGATTTATTGGGGCAAAAGTTTTCGGCTATGTGAATCTGACTAAGTGGTTTTGACTCACAAAAGCTTATGCTCCAATAAATCTGTTAGGGCATGTCTACACAGCAGAGCTAAAGCCGAAATATGTTACGCAATTGAGCTAAGTCAATTGCGTAGCTTAAGTCAAAATAGCTTATTTTGGTGCTGTCTGCACAGCAGGAAGTCTGAGAAAAAGCAGTCTTGCTCTGACTTCCCTTACTCCTCGTACAATGAGAGTTACAGCAGTTGGAGTAAGAAGTCCTCCAGCTCAAAATTATTCAACAGTATGTTGAAATAACTGCTTTTATTATATACATGGATTTTGTTATTTCAGAATAACTAACGTTATTCCAAAATAACGCTGCTGTGTAGACATAGCCTTAGTATTTAAGGTGCCACAGGGCTCCTCGTAGTTTATCCAAAAGGCAGGTCTTGTCAATGTAATACAAGCCCCATCATCAGCATATATGACAGATATATTTGATGATGATGGTTTCTTTAGAAAGGTTTTTTTTCCCTAATATCCTCTTGCTCCTCTTCAGAGTAAAGGATTTAAGAATGCCATTAATCCTCTTCTCCTAACTGGGGTAGCCTTCTGTGGGTTACTGTGATGGAGAAAGCTACTGGTAGGATGTGACAGTAAAAGCACTAGAGCTGCAGAGATGATGTTTAAAAATGGTTGAATGATTTCTTTTACGGTAAAAATTTGGTGATTGTATCACTTGTACATTAATGTAGCTGTTTAGAATATAGTCCAGCAAGTAAAGAGTTTGATAGTGACCAGCTAGGTTCCGCCAATGTTTTCCTTACTTTTTACCAGTAGTTCAGTCTGATATTTTTGGCCTTCCAGATGTCTACTAGAAGAAGCTTGTTATATTAAGAGTGGCAGCTTTTTCTATGGCAGAAGCCTGTTTTAAAGACAGTGAAACACTAGTAATATGGGAAAATCTTTTAATGTCTTGGCTTGTGAAATGAACCCCCAACTTTAAGAATATATCACTCCTTGGTGCTCCTTAACAGAGAACTAGTTAGTACCCTAATTGTTAGTTAATGTTAATATGACTCAAGTAGTAAATAGATAACCAAGAATTAATTAATTAATTGATTGATTGATTGATTGATTGATTCTTTCTTTCTTTCTTTCTTTCTTTCTTTCTTTCTTTCTTTCTTTCTTTCTTTCTTTCTTTCTTTCTTTCTTTCTTTCTTGTTCTAAGAAGCGGAACAGCCTTGTTCCAAATTCCCCTCCTCTCTGTACCCATCTGAGTTGTGGCTGATATAACAATTATGAATGTACAGGCAGTCCCCGGGTTACATGGATCCGACTTACATCGGATCCCTACTTACAAACGGGGTGAGGCAACCCCACACTAGCTGTGCCGCCCCCCCAGCAGACCGCCGAGACCCACCGCGGTCCTGCCGCTCGCATCCTCCGCAGCGAGAAAAGCTGCTCCGCGTCTCCCTGGTCTGCAGGACTGAGGGAAGTGAGATGTGGGAGAATAAAATTGAGCTCTGGAGAAATGTTTGGCTAGAGTTTCCCCTACAATATGTACCAGTTCCGACTTACATACAAATTCAACTTAAGAACAAACCTACAGTCCCTATCTTGTACGTAACCTGGGGACTGCCTGTACTCTCCTTTCCCTGGCTTTTCTTTATGGTAACATTTCAGTGCTCCATACTAACTGATGATGGATACATTTCACCCAGAAAATGCTATTGCTTTCTGCTCCTCCTCCTGCTGCTGCTATGGTTACATATAGTGACACAACTTCTTGTTCTGACAGTGACAATGATGAGGTATACTTAAAGCTGGGTAAAGATGAGAGGTTACAAAGTAAAAAAAACCCAATTCTCGGATGACAGATCCAATGGCATTGGAGCAACACAATGTAAAACCCTAAGCTAATAAACCCATTTTTAATAACCATTTTTATTTTTGTTTATTGTCAAACTGGTAAAAATAAATAAAATGAATTCATACTGTTAATTAAATTACAAGATGTAGGCATTGTTTGGGTGCATTTCCAATTCTGTGTTCCTGTTTAGAGGGAGAACAATACAACATTTCGGGGCAGGAAGTAACTGAGTAAGACACAGTGAATCCAGGTCTATATGAGAAAGTGTCAATTAATCCTCTTATTCCTAAGAGAGAGGAGAGAAAGAGCCAGTGGCAGGACTGGAGACAGGAGGTGCCTACTGCAGAACCCCTGACCTTTTTGTCCCTTGTGTGACGCATAGGGCACTGAGTATTTCCAGATTGCATGGCTTGCCAATCAACAGAGCTGCATGCATAAATGGACCTTTTTTTTGATGACAGCAAACCGCATTGTAAATGAATTGAGTCTTGCCATAGATCCTGCCCCAAGCTATACTCAGATTCTGGCAAAGTCTGCTCAAGATAAATAGAAAATGAAATAACATCCATGGTCCTTAAAGAAAACCAAGGTACAAGCCTTAAGGAATCCTTAAAGGTCCTTAAAGAAAACCAAGGTACAATCTTGCCCTCAACACCTTTGCCACCCTGTGATAGTCCGTAGAGTTACATGGATGTGAGTGAAGGCAGGATTCAGTTAGAAGTGGATGACACATTATTCTCTTGTTATACATAGAGTTGCCAGATGGTTTAACCAAAAATACCGAACACCCCAGCCCCCCAAAAAAACACCAGGAAAAAAATTCTGTTGAGAAAAAAAAGAGGGAGACCAAAGTAGTTGAGCAAAAAACCCCCCAAAAACCGTTGTTGAGCAAAAAACCCCCCAAAAAACAAAAAAAATAGTATGGCCCCTTTAAGAAGAGGCTTTTTTTTTTGCTGGCAGCCATTTTGTTTTTCTGCCAGCCACAGGACAAGCCCCTGCAAAACCAGGTAAGCGGGGAGGAGGGGTAGGCGGCCCAGTGGGAGTGGAGTCAGGGGGCTGGGCCCGATTTCGGGTTGCCAGCTGTCCAGTATTTTTGCCTCCTGGCAGGGAAAAAAAATAAAAAAATACTGGGCATTTTAGGTGTCCAATATTTTCTGATTTTTTTTTTTTTTTACTGGACAGGAGAATGAAAATACCAGATTGTCTGTGTCAATACCGGACACCTGGCAATCCTAGTTATACATGCATATATGTCCATGCACACACTGTCAGGCCAAAGATTTCCTCCCTTCAGGTGCTCACCAATACCAGGGGCAAAGTTCAGGCTCTCTCAACATTGTGTAGGCATGCAGAAAAATATGACAGGAAGGACCCCATCAGAGCTGCCTGGTATGGCCTGCTCTGGACTCCTCTCCAGCCTGTGAATTCCCACTCCATACTCCCAGTTTGGCTTGATTAGAAGAGGTGGAATTTTCAAGGACAAGGGGGATGGCTGGGGTACTTTTGCGCAGATACTTTTTAGCCCAGAAGCTCTATGTCTTATGCAGATTTATTTTTGCTCTTGGTGAGTTTATCTTTGTGGGGTGTTTTGGAGCCAGGATTTGGGTTCCCAGCAATGCTGCTTTTGCAGCGTGAATCATGTGAGACGCTGTTGTGAAGTTTGAATGAGTGCCCATCTGCGGACAAGAGTCTTGTGTAATGAAACGCATATGCCAGCCCAGTGGTACATGCCATACCATCCAATAGGGATGTAAAAGTGTACTTGTTGAAAAGGTAAACCTATAAACCTGGGTTACTGGTTATTTTTAATGGTTATACATGGGTTCCCACACTGCTCCTGGGAAGATGGATTCCATCCTGCTGGCTGGGTGGGTGGGGGGCTGCTCAGGCAGGTGGGGCTGGGGCCTGCTGCATGGCGAGAGGGTGCTGGGACCTGCTTGGGGGGCCAGGGCCTGCTCAGGGGCCTGTTCAGGGAGCTGGTGCTGGCTCGGAGAGCCTGCTCCAGGGGCCGGGGGCCTGGTGCCAGTCAGGGGCCTGCTTGGGGGGCCAGGGCCAATCAGGGCTGGGGCTGTGTCCAGGACTACAAAGTGGCCTCCCAACTGCTCCCTGGGCTGGCCACATGGTGGCTGACCAAAGCTGGAGCTGGGCTATGGTGCAGCTGCTGCTGGGATTGGGGCCTCCTGCATCTCTCTTCCCCCCTCCCACACCTCTCTATAGCCCCTCAGATCCCCCTGTTCCCCAACCCTCTTTCCCCCACAGT